GGTGCGCACCAATGCACCACTTGTTAAGCCATGCTGTGGCGGTGTCCCATGTAAAGTGGAGGAAGATGGGCACGGATGTTAGCCCAGGGCCAATCTTCCTCAGCAAAAAAGAGGAGGAGTGGCATCAGATGTTAGCTCAGGGCTAGTCCTCCTCACACACACACAAAAAAGAATAGAGAGCCTAGAAATAAAGCCACATAAATATAGTCAACTGATCCTTGACAAAGGTGCAAAGGCAATATAATGTAGAAAAGATAGTCTCTTCAACAAATGGTGCTGGAACAACTGGACATCCACATGCAAAAAAATGCATCTATACATAGACCTAATGCCCATCACAAAAAAATACCACAAAATGGATCATAGACCTAAATGTAAAACACCAAACTATAAAAGTCCTAGAAGATAATATAGGAGAGAACGTAAATGACCTCGGTTATGGTGATACCTTTTAAGTAACAACACGAAAGGAACGATCCGTGAAAAAAATAAATCGATAAGCTGGATTTCATTAAAATTAAAAACATCTGCTCTGCAAAAGACAATATTGAGAGAATTAGAAGACAAGCTATTTGCAGAATATATTTGGAGAAAATATTTGCAAAAGACACATCTGATAAAGGATTGTTACCAAAATATACAAAGAACTCTTAAAACTCAAGGATAAGAAAACAAACAACCTGATAAAAAATGAGCCACACTTTGACAGACACCTCACCAAAGAAGACATACAGATGGCAAATAAGCATATGAACCGATGCTCCACATCATACGTCATCAGGGAATCAAAAATTAAAACAACAATGAGATACCACTACACACCTATTAGAATGGTCAAAATCTGGAATACTGACACTAAACACTGATGAGGATGTGGAGCACCAGGAGCTCTCATACATCACTGGTGGGAATGAGAAATGGTACAGCCACTTGGGAAGACAGTTTGGTGTTTTCTTACAAAACTGAACATACTCTTACCATATGATCCAGCAGTTATGCTCCTGGTATTTATCCAAAGGAGTTGAAAACTTATGCCCACACAAAAAAAACCATACGTGGATGTTTACAGCAGCTTTATTCATAATTGCCAAAACTTGGAAGCAACCAAGATGTCCTTCAGCAGGTGAATGGATAAATAAACTGTGGTACATCCAGACAATGGAATATTATTCAGCACTAAAGAGAAATGAGCTACCAAGCTATAAAAAGATAGGGAAGAACCTTAAATGCATATTATTAAGTGAAAGAAGCCAATTTGAAAAGGCTACATACTGTGTGATGCCAACTATATGACATTCCGGAAAAGGCAAAACTATGGAGACAATAAAAAGATCAGTGGTTGCCAGGGATGGGAGTAGGAGAAGAGATGAATAAGCAGAGCACAGAGATTTTTAGGGTAGTGAAAATACTCTGTATGATATTATAATGATGGATATATATTATACATTTGTTCAAATGCATAGAATGTGCAACACCAAGAGTGAATCTTGATGTAAACTATAGACTTGGGGGGTGATAATTATGTGTAAATGTAGGTTCATCCTTGGTAAAAGAATGTACTGTTCTGGTGACTGACGTTGAAAACTGGGGAGACTATGCAAGTGTGGGGGCAGAGCGTATATGGGAATTCTCTGTACCTACCTCTTAGTTCTATTGTAACCTAAAATTGCTCTAAAAAAATAAACATTTTCTAAAAAAAGAAGTTATTATCTTTATATTTAATGGGTAAAAATGATATAATGTCTAATATTTGCTTTAACATATTCTAGCAAAAAAAGCATAGGGGCTTAGCTGAAATGATATTGGCAAAATGTCAACTGTTGAAGCTGGGTGATATGTAGCTGGAGATTCATTTTGCTGTTATACTCTTTACTTTCATATATATCCGAAAATGATATAATTAAAAGGCTTCTAAACTGAATTGAAAAAAAAGAAAAGGAAAGAATTGTGGATCTAGAGAGGTTAAGCAACTTTCCCAAGGCCACGTCATCCTGGTCTCTAGACTCTTATTCCTGTGCTAGTTCTTCCACTCCACACTAAGCAGATAGGGCAGGGCCACAGGTGGCTTCATGTGGTCATAGTGGTATCGTCTGAGACACAGACTATGCCAGTGCCAGGCTGGCTTCCTGACCCTTCTTTATCTCCCAACACACCAAGGCAGGAATGCAGAGATAATGTATGTTTGTGGGTGGGGAAAGGGCATGAGGAATGGGGTGCTGGTGGGCTAGGTAACAAGCATGATTTGGGCTCCTCAGGATTTCAAGAGATTTCTTATATTATACAACTTCTGTTTTCAGAAAAATTTTGGAAAATACATAAATTAATCCAGTATGACATGTTTGGGTCTTCCTTACATCTTAGCAGGGCTTAAACAATGAGCCTATCTGAGTTGGTGAAGGATGAAAGAAAGAATGTAGACAACTTTGTACCAATCAGACTGATTCCTATGCTTTCCTGTTTGTGACAGCCAAGCATTATTCTGGACCTCGGGGCCGTGGACCTTAGACTCTGAAACTTTTAGGAAAGGAATTCCCTTCTAGCCCCCAGAGACGAGGCTGAGCTGAGGAAGATCCCCTCTACACTCACAAATGACTGGATGGAGTCCCACGCTGCCTTGGTGCTGTTGTCTGTGTGGTATCGCCGGATGCTGTCCTTCAGGTCTTCAGCCACATACTTACTCAGCTGGGTGGAGCACATTCCAGCGGAAGAGACATTTTAAAAAACAGGTGATTTCAAGGAACAAGGAATTTCTAGTATAGGCTAGTGGTACCATTTGCTCCTCCCTTCCAAATGGCCTACTCAGAGCTAAGGAAGTGAGGAGAGGGAGTTTATATACAGGAAGAAGTGCTGAGGGTGAGATGGCATTGACAGAACAGTGGTCTCTTGTCCTTCCAGAACTCTGGTTTTACAAAGAAGGAAAAGGGACAATCAAAGCACGGGCTCTCTTAGGCACTGAGACAGACATTGTCTACTGCCAAACGCTTGGAGAAAACTACGTAGGAGGAAGATAAACCTGTTTTTACTGTTCTTCCCATTCATCCTTCAAAGGATCTTCCCATTCACCACTCAAATGCAATCTCCTCCATGACTTTTTTTTTTCTCCCCGATTACAATTAATCTCTCTTTCCTCCATCCCTCCAATTTGCTTCTACCTCCATTATAGGACTTATTTTGTGCCAACTTCTTCTCCACTGTCAACAATACAACGAGTTGTGTTCTTTATAACTTACCTTCTGTTCATACACGAAGAGCAGGATGGCCAAGGTCACCTCAGCAAGGAGGATAATCAGCAGCAGGACAAAAAACTGGGGCAAAGGAAAGACATGCTCACAGTACTTATCCTAGTTCTTCCCTCACTCCCACTCCATCCTAGGAGCATCCAGCCGTATCTCTGCAACTGTACAGAAGTTCCTGCTCCTGCCTGCTCAGGCCTTCGTGAGCCTTCTCTTGTTTTGTGAGGAATATGTTCTGTTTTCCTTCAACTAGAATCCAAGACTCTAGAGAGCAGATCAGCTGTCTTCTACTTTGCTCCCTCCTTTCCATTGTGCCTATTGAGCTCCATGGGCATAATGCATATGCAATACCATTTTTTGAATCAATGAAGCAATTTTAGCATCTGCCTATTGAAACAGTTGAGCAAAAGACCAGTAAGCTAAACTATGTGTCTTTAGAGTCCAGGGCCTAGTCCTTTCTGCAAGATCAGGGCTAGTTTGGAATGGGGGACAGGTGATGGTGGAGATTGAGAGGAGCCCTGTACAGATAGGGAGAAGAAGTGCTCTAATCATGGTCCTAATTCATATTTATCTCCAACTTTAGATGCTTACTCTCCTTATGCTAATCACATACAACAGAAAACACACTTTCACTTGTTCCCTCTCCTTCACCTTTTTACCCAGCACTAATTTTGACTGCTTAAAACCTTTCCCTGTGTCTATTATCTTCCATCTTTTGCCATTAGTCTGGGAACTAACCTGAGGTGCCAATACCATGTTCCCAAGATTTCCCTGTGCCTGTAGGTGAGCTGCCAAGAAACATCTTGCCTGAGACTTACGGCATCATGTCCCCCGAGTTAGGGCCCACATCTGCTGCTAGGGACTCACCGACATAAGCAGGCACTTGTTCTCCTTGATGGAGCCCATGCAGCCCAGGAAGGCAACCACCATGATAATGGAGCCCACGATGATAAGCACATTGCCCAGCGTGAGGGAGGGGAGATTATGGAAGAGCACTCCAAAGTTCTTGTGGATCAGGAAGTAGATCCCAAAGCCCAAAACGCAGCAGCCACAGAACTGAAAGAAAGAATCCCACAACATTCTGAGATAAACATGGTTCTTCAACATTTTCTTATATTCTCACTTACTTGAGATCAGAATCATCTTTTTCCATTGGCTCTATCAAGACTCTTGTGAACAATCTTTATCCAGATTTCCCCATGAACCTGGAAAAGAGGCGATCCCAGCTTCCTCCTTGTGATGTCCCATTCACGCCCCTCCTGCCCATATCAGATACTAGGGGAATCTCACTCCTGTGAATAATACAGTCTCTTCATACTTCAGATCCCATACTCCTTGTTTCCTTAACTGCTTACACATGGTTTTCCCTTTGGAAAACACAACCATGTAGAGGGGATTCCTGGTTGAGGAAGTTCATCTTGCTAGGCAAAAAACTAAAGAAGCCAAACTTTTGAGAATTTTCTCATAGGCACATGAGTACCATCTCATCCTATATCTGAAATTCAATTGCTGAATTTGGTACAGTGAAACCTCCTCAGAAAATGTGACTTCCTTTTTAACCAGCTATTCTTCCAAGGGGCCTAAAGGGGGGGAAAAGCTGGAAAAAAAAAGAGGCACTCAATACACAGCACATAGAATCTCAGTTTCTCACCCATAGATATCAGCAGTGAGCAGTAGTAGCCTAATGTCCCCCAAGAGAGAAAGAGCATCCCCATAAATAACTGCACTGGTACTTTTCAGTTTTGCAGGCTTATATTGCGGCAGGAGGGGAAGAGGGGAGGAAATAATTATTTCCTTGTTCTTAGGGTGGGTATGCTGCACATGATGCAGGTATGCGTGGGTTGCAATCCATACCAGACTCTTCATTAGAGGAGACAAGTAGTGTGTAGCTGGGAGGAGGTAGGCTCAGCCATGCTCAGAAAAGACACACTTACCCAAAAGAGCAAGTTGAAGAAAAACAGGACATATTTCAGCAGTTTCAAGCTACTCACGCCCATGTTGGGATGGTCTTGCCCTAAAAAGTGAAAGGAAGAAGAGAGGAACTAAGTGACCTGGCTCTGCAAGGTGGCACCAGAGATCAAAAAGCACCAATGTTCAGGGTTCAAGGATCTCCAGCATCACCTTAGGTTTGAGCTGTGACTCTCCTCTGGAAAGTTTGCCCAAACTCTCTTGTTTAGTCTCTGAACTGAGGTACAAATTGGCTCATTTTGGACACTTGGTTTTGCTTTAATTCAACAAGCCAAAAATGCTTAACATTGAATTAAGCACTGTAGAAGAAAACACTGGAGCCGTTTTTAGAGGGTGAATCACAGTGACACACACCAGGCCAATGCTCAGGGACCAGTGCCTGGGCACTTACTCAGGGGGCAGCCCTGGGGTCAGGGTTAGGCTGGTCAATCAGCTGTGGAAAAGGCCAGTGGCCTTCACCAGCTAGTTCCTTAAATGTCCTGAGATACATATACATACTACATTTGGTCTATAAACCTCTCCACATGAAAGTGGGGGAACATATTTACGTCTTGTTCATTCTTTTACTGAAGAAACATTTATGTTTCTACATGCTGTGGGAGATGCAACCATGACTAAGTAGTAGCTATCCTCCAGAAGATGGCAATCTTACGGCAGAGATAAAGCTAGCCAACAAATATCCAATGGGGAAATGAAAAAATATAGCAGTGAAAGCTTGATTTCTTAAAAAATAGAATTTCATTTTCTTGGTGAGGACACCAATGTCCAAAGTCTTGTCCTCAAGTCTAGAGATATAGATACACAATTTTGAATTTTCTTTAAGAAATAATGAGGTTCTACAGAGTGACTCATATTTAAAGCTGCACGTGAGACTGATATATAAAGCAGAATGTCAATTTATTGTTTTTTTCTCCATTAGGACTATGCCTTTTCTAGTGCATAGGTTGCTTGTACAATCCATCATACCATCTTTGCAGTGTCAAGGTACCCATAAATCAGATGTTCTTGAGGGACATTTCATTCAGGCTGTAGATAAGCCTGATGAGCTACTTCTGTTCCACACTGGAGTAATCTTCTCTGTTGAAAAGACTAAATACTTATATCTGTCTCATATCATTTTCCTTTTCCTTTACTTTGTCCTTCTCTTTCCCCTTTTCTTTCTTGTCTTCAGTTTCAGGATTATTCTTTCTTTCTTTCTTTTTTTTTGTTTTGTGAGGAAGATCAGCCCTGAGCTAACATCCATGCCAATCCTCCTCTTTCTTTTTTGACTGAGGAAGACTGGCCCTGGGCTAACATCTGTGCCCATCTTCTTCCACTTTCTGTGGGACGCTGCCACAGCATGGCCTGACAAGCAGTGCATCGGTGCATGCCTGGGATCCGAACCTGGGCCGCCAGCGGTGGAGCACGCGCACTTAACTGCTACGCCACGGGGCCAGCCCCTCTCAGGATTATTCTTAATTATTCATTACTTTAACCAGTTAAAATAACATTAATTAGATTATAAGTGTATTTCGATACACTTGAGAGAGAAAAAAAATATGATGATTTACTATATAGGGTTTGAGGTCAAACTTGAACTCAACTCCCGTATATGCTACTAGATAGCTATGTGAGATTTAGAAACCTACTTAACATTTCGAGTCAGAATTTATTCCTATGTTAAATGGGGTTAATACTTATGTCTCAAGGGTAGATGTGAAGATTAAATGATCTTATGGCAGAGACTGGAATGTGACAAATACTCAGTAAATGAAACCCATGATCATTTAGTCGTAAAGCACCACGCTTGTTTGTCAGGAGAGGATGATGGATTTGTGTGTTTCCCAGGCTTCTACACATTGACCAAGTATCTCATAGACTAAGACGCATCTATGGCTAAACAATCTTATTCATTTTATCTATAATTTTAAAAATTAACTCTTAGGATGTGACATTTACAGTTCTCATCTCCAAATTCTTGAGAATCCTTACTGTAACCCTTTGCACAGGCTATATCAAGTAATAAAAAATGAATACATCAAGTCTCAAAGAACAATACCGAATGCCATGGAAATTCAAAGATTTTCAGCTGGGTTGATCAAGGAGGTGACATTCAAATTGACACATTCAAATGAGTGTAGTTCCTTTGAGCAGCTAAACATTGACTATCATGATTCTCTATACCTTAGAGCTCTGCTTGGCTACTGAGCACTTGAAATCTGGCTAGTCTGAATTAAGATGTGCTATAAGTCTAAAATATACACTTAGTACAAAAAAGGTCATATTAATAATTTTTTATTGATTACATGTTGAAATAATATTTTGCATAAAACAAGGTTACTAAAATATATTATTAAAATTAATTTCACTTTTTTCATTTTAGTTTTTTTAATGTGAAAATATAAAGTCACATATTTGGGATATGTGTCTCTGGCCAAGAGGGATTGACAGGGACCAGATTTACCCTTTCACCTAAAACCATAAAAAAATATACAAATCATAAAACAATGGCTTGCAAGACACTGAATATCAGACAACAAAGGACAGTGATCCCTGAGAGATAGAAATAAATGACGTGAGCCCTTTGATTGCCCCAGCTTACTGCAGTGACACAGTTTCCAGAATATGGGGCAGAAAGGAGGAGCCTGGCAGACTTTCTGAGTTGAGGAGACAGAAGATCCACAGAGGATGCCTATATTAGTTTCCTATTGCTTCCGTAACAAATTACCACAAACTTAGTGGCTCAAAACAATATAAATTTATCCTCTTATAGTTCTGAAGGTCAGAAGTCCAAATTCAAGGTGTTGGCAGGGCTGCATTCTGTCTGAAGAGTTCAGAGAGAGAGTCTGTTTCCTTACCTTTGTCAGCTTCTGGAAGTCATTTGCATCCCTTGGCCCCTTCCTCACAGTGCTCCAACCTCTTGCTTTTGTCAAACACATCTGCTACTTCCCACTCTGATCTCCTGCCTCTTTCTTATAAGGACACATATGATTAAATGGGGCCTACTCGGATAATCCAAGATAATCTCCTCAGCTCAAAATGTTTAATTTAATTCCCTATAAAAGTTCCCTTTGTCCTACAAGGTACATGAACATATTTGAGGGCACATTATTCAGCTTACCATAGTGTCCATCAACAAGTCAGTTGAATAATGATTAACACATGCATTTGGAGAAACTACCCAAGACAGAGTATCATATGAACAGTGCCTGGCAATCACACAGAGCTGCCATTAGTGCCTGTTTGTACCAGCCAGAGAAGAAAACCTCAAGAGTCACAGGATAGATTACACAGAAGGGTCTTGCCTCACTTAGTGGGGAATAAATAGCTCTAGACTGAACACTGCTCCAGATCCACCTAACAAATCTTAAAAGCAAGGCCCAAAAGTATCAAACACTTTCCAAGTAACTTAAATGCATCCCAGAACAAAGCTTAATAATAGTTGTAGGAATATAAATATATCCAGAACTCAACAAGGTAAAATTTGCAATGTCTGGATTCACTCAAAATATCAGGCATGCAAGAAACAGAAAAGTATAACCCATAATGTTGAGATATATTCATCAATTAAAACTTACTCAGATGTTAGACTAGTAAACCAGTATCTGGTTTAAGATATTAAACCAGATATTATATCTTCAAAAAATTAAGTAGAGACATGGAAAATATTTTTAAAAAAGATGAATCAAACTTTTAAAGATGAAAACTGTAGTGTATGAGGCAAAAAACCACTGGATTGATTAATGGAAGATTAGACATTGCAGAAGAAAAGACTAATGAACTTTTTGAAGACAGCAAGAGAAAGTATCTCAAAAGAAACACAGAAAATAAAAATTTTTTAAATGAATAGAGCTCAGGAGTTGAGAATTTCAAGTGGCTTAACATATACGTAATCTCCTCAAAAGATAGGAGAGATGGGGTGAAGAGAAAAGATATTTAAAGAAATAACAAATGAAAAAATCCTATATCTGATTTTAAAAATACATCCCCAGATCTAAGAAGCTCAATGAACAATGAGCACAAGAAAAAGGAAGAAAACTACATTAAGACACTTTATAATGAAATTACTCAAAACCAGAGATAAAAAGAAAATCTCACAACAGCTAAAGAAAAAAAATCTTAGGTACACAAGAACAAATATAAAGATCAGATCAGACTTCTCATTGGGAAACCAGCAAGCCAGAAGACAATGGAGCAGCATGCTTAAAGAGATGAAAGAAAAAATGTTGTCAACCTAGAATTCTATACCCAGTAAATATATATTTCAAAAACTAAGAAAAAAATACTTTCAGACATACAAAAGCTGAAAGAATTCCTCACCAGTAGATTGATACTATAAGAAATGTTAAAGGGTGGCCAGCCTGGTGGTGCAGCAGTTAAGTGCACACTCTCTGCTTTGGCAGCCAGGGGTTTGCAGGTTCAGATCCTGAGCACACACCAACGCATTGCTTGTCAAGCCATGCTGTGGCGGCAACCCATATAATGTAGAGGAAGAGGGGCATGGATGTTAGCCCAGGGCCAATCTTCCTCAGCAAAAAGAGGATGATTGGCAATGGATGTTAGCTCAGGGCTGATCTTCCTCACAAAAAAAAAAAAAAGAAATGTTAAAGGAAATCCCCGAGGCAGAAGAAAAATGAGAACAGATGGAAATACAGAACTACACAAACAAATGAAGAGCACTAGAATTAGTAACTATATGGATAGATATATAAGATTTTTCTTGTTATTTAAATAACTTTATGGCTGGCCCCACGGCACAGTGGTTAAGTTTGGTGCATTCTGCTTTGACAGCCCGAGTTCGCAAGTTTGGATCCCAGGCACAGGCCTACACCACTTGTCAGCCATGCTGTGGCAGTGACCCACGTATAAAGTAGAGGAAGATTGGCACGGATGTTAGCTCAATGCTAATCTTCCTCAAGCAAACAAAAACAAAAACAAGGAAGATTGGCAATGGATGTCAGCTCAGGGCTAATCTTCCTCAGCAAAAAAAAAAAGAAGAAGAAAATAAATAAATGAATAAATAACTTTAAAAGATACTGGGCTGTTTAAGCAAAAATAATAACAATG